ATACTATTTATTTATTTCCTTATTTATTTTTTTCTTTTTTCTAATATAATTTTTAGATCTTATAGTTATAAAAAGAAAAACATATGTATTTTAAATTTCAATAAGTTCTTAAAAACATGTTTAATTGATTTTACTTTATTTTCATTTTATTATTCTTTTCTTCTTTAATTTGTTTTTATTAGTTGTTATTGTTTTTAAAAGAAAAATAACTATATGTGTTTTATTTAATTTATTTTTTAAAAAACTTATTGCTAAAATATGAACAGCATACGGCCTTCTCGTTAGCAGATATTTCAGTTAGTCTTTCGAAAGACAGTAAAGAGCTTTAAAGGTGGTTGCTAGTATTGACAATTGTCTTACGAAAGACTTTTGTCGAAAGACAGTTGCCAGAATCGTTATGTTAGTCATACCAGGGATATGCCCTATTGACTATTAGTGAATTTGAATTAGAATTTGGTAGTCAAATGCTACGAAATAATTTCCTTATACCCAGAACTTAGAGTCGCGCTCTGAAATCCAAAGTAATGTGGAGGGCATATTCCGTCTATTATTTTATTTTGAACGATTGCATATATAGTTTAGAACTATTGTTCATGCAGAGATTTACCATTTGAAGTCTGTGACGTGATAGCTGTTTGGCGTGATAGCATCTGACAAGTTTAGGCCATAATCCATCACGTGGGCTTCCTTCTAAGAGTCGACTTCCAGTATTGTCAAGGCTCTGTAATGCATACCTAGCGGCAAAGCTTGGTTGCTTGCAGAAAATCTCCATCAGCACTGGGAGTGCTTTCCCTCTCTCACCTTCCTTATTTTCTTTCCCCCTGTTAATTGAGCATACCACAACCAGTTGGGCTGCTCTTTCTTCAACGCTCAAGCTTAGTATTATTTCGTAGTTGAAAAAGTGAGTTGCAGAGAGAGCTTTTACTTTGCGCACATCAATATCAAAGCCTTACAAAGCTCAAAAAAACTTCTACGCTGAATACATTTTGATCGTGAAGTTTTTCGCAGCTTTTTATGGGTTTTTTATGGGCACGTTCCGATTGAAACCTTTCAGAAGCTTATGAAATGGGATATGTTTTGGTCGTAACCGAGTTATGGGCAGTTTTATTATAAACCAAGCCTGATTATCTAATACAACTATTCTTATATTTTAACAGCAAGCGCGTCTCAAACTCAGGCGTATAGCGGAATGGTACAACGATGTTAACGCACGCTCACAGCCGACGGAAAAGGATCTGATACGTGCGGAACTCAGTGCGATTGAGATGTATATGGAGCCCTTTATAAGTGATATAATTTGGATGTCAATTGGTAGGCTAAGCATATACATATATACTCCCCTATATATACATATATTAGGCTGCGAAAACTCTACTTATTTGCTACCCTTGCTCACTTTCAGATCAGCGATTTATTAACAAAGTTTTTGCCAAGATTAGTCATTTGCAAAAGCGCATCGAGAAATGCCAAGCCAATTTGGAAGCTATAAAGCAAAGTATTAATGCCTGGGGCAAAGTGCCACTTTTCCAACGTAAAGATCTCAATCCCAAAGCACTACTAGCCGTCGAACCACGTTCGGTTATTATGGAAAAACGGCGCCAGCAAGCATTGGTCACTAAGGAATTGATAGACAAATTAATGTTGGAGAATGCTAAGCTATTTTTTGACATACCGCATCGGTATGAAATCGATGAGGGCAGCAGCGAAGCTATTGAAGAGGAGAATAACGAAGAGAGCGCAGCAGGAAATGCACGAGAGGGATTAAAACGTATCACGATGATGCCAACTGAAAGCCCAGAAGAGGAAGAAGAAAGTTCATCGGAGGACGAGGTATGCAGATTAGGGTGGTACAAAATAAGTAAATTGGGAGTTTTAATGCACCCACCCCTAGGATTGTTCTATAACAAAAAAGTAGTATATTTTATTTTAAAGCAAAAAATTTTTGGGAGCTCGCTCAAAGCGCTCGAAGTTTTCAATGTATTTTATATACATATGGGAAAAATGTTTGTAAAAATGTTATAGAATTCTTGAAAATCAATATTTTTCTATCGCTAAACTCTGTTTCTCTTTAAGAGACTTCCAATAACAATACCCAATGGGTTATTTAAACATTTCTTAATAATAACTATTTCCCCCAAAAACTTAAAAAAAAAGCATGGGGGACCCACAAAAGAGCTTAAATAATAGATAATGGTTAAATAAATCTTGGACTAACTTGTTTTTAATATATACATACATAGCGCTTTTAACGACTATATATCTATCTATATTTTTTTCGGTATAAAACAATCCTAAGTGGAGAGAGCATTAAGATTCGGATTTTATTTTTCCACATGCGTTTTGGCATCATAAATATGTATATACACACATATAGAAAATAAACTATACAAAATTAAATTGTTGTTATAATTTTACACTTTCCCACACAGCTAATTACGCCGCAACATCGCTACGATTTGCTGCAAACGCTCAGCGCGGAAGAGCGCGCACAATTTCGTCAGTATGAAAAGTATGTGGATGAACAAATCGCTGCTCAACTATTGGATGCAGTCATTACCAGTGTTACATACTTGCGAATGGAGATTGATAATCGCTATGAGAATGATGCGCCAATTTTTGAAATTCTCATGGAGCTGCAAGAGCCAATGGTGGTGTACTTTTTAAATTTGGATCCCACTTCGAAGCATGGTTTTACAATGCATGTGGAGGGTTTAATTGATGATATGTACAAAATGATGGGCATGTTGCCGCGTGTAGCGCAGGAGCTGACAGCGGAGGATGCGGAGCCCGAAAATTTTATGTGTAAGTATTTTTTTTTTTTTCTAACTTATTGCTAGTTTATATGCTGAAACTGGCTTTTGTTTACTTCTACTATACTATTCATTACTAAAGATCTATCAATGGAACAAGGCTCCTCGATTCGAGGCGCATAGTTTTTCGGCCATATAATTAAGGGCAGGAATTATTTACAATTTACAAAAGAAAAATTCGAACATAATTTTTGGGAGAGTTAATGCGTAACACCGTCAGCAAATTAACGAAGTTTCTTAGCTACTTCATTCTGAAATTGATAGGCTATAGAACAATACACTCGAATATTTTCTCAAAAATCTGGCCTTTTTTTTGAGATTTGGCGAATTTTTATAATTCCTATACGAGATTTGAAATTTTCATGTATTTAACTTATGTAAGGACAATTCATCTAAATGTGTAAATACCGCGTAAACCTCGTAAATAAAATTAACGGTCAAAACTTGTACCGCAGTCCGCTCCCTAATTATGTGGCACCACTGTACATATGCTTTATTGAAAACTATTATTTAATATTTTATATTAAAATACAATTAAAACAAATACCGCAGCGGAATTGAAAGACAAAGCCGATATGCATAAGCAACGTAATGACATAATGACTAAAGTGAAAATCGCACTGCAACAGATACGTTCCCACTCAAAAATCTATATGGAATATTCGTATTTATGGCTATCAAATAAACAGCAATATCTTGCCGAAGTTAAGAAATTTGGACGCCCCTTGAGTGTACTGGAACGCGAATCAGAATTGGGCGGTGAAGGCGAATCGGGTGTAAAGCCATTGAAGGAAGAGCATCCGCCGCTAAGTGTCTACAAGGAACAGGTATGTATTATCGGTTGACAATATTTTTAAAGGAATAGTGTATGTACTTCCTTTTTAGCATATTAAATGCTATAGAGGTCGGAAACTATCGATAGTCGGCACCATCGATAGTGTGCGATCGTTTCCTTTTTAATTATAAATGTATTTAAACTTTTTCTCCGGTTGCATCTAGGTATATTTAACAATATTGGTAAGTCTGATTTCATATGATGCAAAGTTAAGTTACCTTAAAACCATAAAGTTAGAACGTTTTTTATTTCATTTATTAGAAACTTTAAAGGAAATGCAACTCTTCTTGCAGCAACTAGATTTATTTGTATGTTTGCAACCCTGTTTTTTATTTCAAAACTTGTCCCGCTATTTTCTATTTAAATTCAAGAGATTTATTTTTTACTAGTAAAGAAAAGCAAAAATAATATCGCGACCCTTTTTTTCGTCAACGACCCCCTTTTTTACGACTTGCTGAAAATGCTCAACTGGTGGTGAAAAGCTATTTTGAGAGAAAGCACTTATATATCATTTATTCCGCGTCGCTCAAACAGTCGCACTGACCGTGTGAGCAAAGCACGAGCATGCCATTCGAGAGACCCGAGTTCAAGTCCTACATCGGCGGAATTTATTTCTCTTTTTTTTTTAATTTACGTTTTTTTTTATTTAAAATTTTCTTTTCAACGTTTATACAGACTTCCGAAAGCTTTCGACAGGATTTCCCATATTAAGCTGTTAAAAAAAATTTTCCTCCCATGGCTTTCACTCAGTCTCCCTGAGTTTGATTGCTTCGTAAACACATAATCGACGCTATATAGTTTTTCTTGATAATGTCAGCTCCTTACCATTTGTTGCAAGCTCAGATGTCCTATGTAAAATCCTTACAAATCGGGCACCTTATAGAGAAGTTACATTACGATTCTTGTAATTTAAGTGTCAGTGGAAATCCGGCATTATTATTCACACAAAATCGATTAACTTCGCAAGTTAAACGAAGTGAAAGTAATATTTTTTTATCTAGCTAATTGTTTTTTTTTTTTCACAAAAAAAACAGTGCTTAAATAATACCCTTTCTTTACTTTCCAGTTGGACAAATTTATTGCCTTGCAAAGCGAGATCTCACAATGGGAGTTATATTCTGACTTTAACGTTTGGTTGCGCTTAAATAAGAGAGGTTTTAAAAACGCTATGCTAAATCAAGTGGGGAAATGGATAAGTCTCTTTAAGCAGGATCTAATTGATAGAGTTAAGAACTCACTACAGGTGCGTGAAAAAAATTAAAAAAAAAACGTATATATATATTTGGTAATAACAACACTTATATACTCTGCTTCCAAACAGGAATTGGAAGACTTTGTCGACGAAGCTCACGAAGCGCTCAAAATCGAGCTCAACAAAGATGACTTTGAGGGTTTACTCAAAATTCTTTCTGTACTCAATACAATCAACGAAAAGCAATACACTTATGATTACATGTTCGACCCATTACGTGAGGTGGTCGATTTGTTGAAGCAATACAATTATGACTTTAAGGATAGCGTGTTGGCGCAGGTAAATGATTTCTTATAAATAGGATTCTCTTTACAAAAGTGAGCGCACAAATATTTTGTACATTCGGCCGAACGCTGCACTATTTCGGCCAAGAAATCTCGCCATAACCAGAGAAGCGCCCAATGCATAGCGACATTCGTGAATTATGAATATCGAAGAATTTTTATAAAATGCATTTAAGGTTACACCTAGAAGAGATAAACCACTTTTTAATTTAAACTTTTTCATACTTGTGTAACCTGAATTCGAAAAAGATCTACCTACGAGCCTACTTCAATGTCTCCCACCACAAAAAATCTCTCAACTGCCGGAAGTGGCTCTCTATTGTGTGTGAAAAAATACGCCACTAGCTTCCGCTCTTACCGACCTTAAGGAGTCGTTTAATATTCTCATTTGTTGGAACAACTTGGCATGCGAACATTTGGATTGAGTATGCAAGAATGTTCGATTCCAATTCTAAGGTATATAACTTTTTGATCATATGGTTTATCCTGCCGCTCGCCCAGCAGACTCCTGGTCCTGGAACATATAGGTCCCGCTCAGGTGCAGAGTCAGGAATATTCGGCTTAGCCACAGCCGCCGTTTTTTTCTTCGTCTGTCTCCTTCTCTTCAGCTGCCTGCCGGTCAGCTTTCTATCAATCTGAAGACCATCCCGTACAGGTCTTCTACACGTAGTGTTGCTCTCCTAGTTTACACCAAATTTAACTGTCGTTGGCTCTATCTCTTATACTGTCTTGAAGAAGTGGAAGGGCTATTTATCTAAAGTCTCAACATCCTTTACAACCATGGGTTTTTTTCATACTTTGCTTTGATTTTAGTGCGCCCTCCTCCTCGTTCAATAGCAGCTTACCTCCACCGATACCTTGGATGGCAGGCAGAGGTGGAAGCAGAGTTTTGGTCGGATAATAGGTGAAAGTCTAAAGCCCATCACCCATAAGCTGACACAACTTTTAGTACTGTCCACAACAACCATATTTTGTTTTCACTTCATCTTTTCAGCTAAGCGAACTGCCCGACAAGTGGATGAAGGTGAAAAAAAATGCTGCCGCCGTCAAGCAAACGATTGCGCCCATACAGTCCTACCAAGTCGATCTGATTGAGAAACGGATTATACTTTGCGATACTATGGCTAATCAGTATCGCAAGCGATTTCTGCGCAAAAGGGTATCCCCGACTTATTATAGTCCATCTAAAATATCCTTCAAAATAAAAATAAAAATCTCCTCTCTGCTATTTTTGTTCAGTTCTTCCAAGTTCCTTGTGATAATCCATATGAGTTCATTGACGAAGCTGATTTGGAAATAACCGCTTTGGAGGAACGTCAGAACTCATTAACGGAGTCAGCTGTACTTTTCGAACTGCAAGGTCCAGATCTAAGTAAAATTGAACGCTGTCGCTTTGAATTAAAACTTCTAAAGGTGATGTGGGACTTTGCAATAACAATTACGACAACGATCAACGAATGGAAAAAGACGCCTTGGAAGAAAATCGATATTGAGTCGATGGATCAAGAATGCAAGAAGTTCGGTAAAGAGTTGCGTGGGCTAGGCAAAGAAATGCGCACATGGGATCCTTACATACATACGGAGAATCAATTGAAGAACCTAATGACTTCACTACGCGCTGTAACAGAGTTGCAGAATCCAGCAATACGTGATCGCCACTGGTTTGAATTGATGCAAACGACCGGCGTCAAGTTCAGCATGGATGATTCAACTACGCTCAAAGATCTGATCGATTTGAACTTGCACGAGTACGAGGAGGAAGTGAAGAACATTGTGGACAAATCGGTAAAGGAACAAGCGATGGAAAAGATGCTTAAGGATCTTGCCAACACATGGGCTAACATGGAGTTCCAGAATGAAATACACGAACGCACTGGACTCAAGCTACTTAAGGCATCAGAGGAAATGATCGAAACCTTAGAAGATAACCAAGTACAGTTGCAAAATATGGCATCGTCCAAGTATGTTGGTTTCTTTCAGCACGAGGTCGCTGCTTGGCAACAAAAGTTATCCAATGCAGATCAGATAATCGGTTCCTGGTTTGAGGTGCAGCGCAAGTGGCAATATCTAGAGAGCATCTTCATCGGTTCCGAGGATATAAGATCACAATTGCCCGAAGACTCCAAGCGCTTCGACTACATTGATCGCGAATTCAAGCAATTGCTAAATCAAATGAATGCCGATCACAATGTAGTGCGTGCAACTAACAGGCCGAATAGCAAGCTATACGAAACACTCGAATCGCTACTCAAACAACTCACCATGTGCGAAAAGGCGCTCAATGATTATCTCGAGACCAAACGACTTGCATATCCACGTTTCTATTTCGTANTGAATGCCGATCACAATGTAGTGCGTGCAACTAACAGGCCGAATAGCAAGATATACGAAACACTCGAATCGCTACTCAAACAACTCACTATGTGCGAAAAGGCGCTCAATGATTATCTCGAGACCAAACGACTTGCATATCCACGTTTCTATTTCGTTTCCTCCGCCGATCTGCTGGACATTCTCTCCAATGGTAATAATCCCCAAATGGTGTGCCGCCACTTGACTAAACTTTACGATTCCATGGGCCGCTTGGAAATGATCGCCGGCACAAAGGTAGCTGTCGGCATGATAGCCAAGGAACACGAGGAGCTAGTGCCTTTCTTAAACGATTGCGACTGCAGCGGTAAAGTCGAGGTGTGGCTCAATCGTGTAACGGACAAAATGCGTGAAACGCTGCGTGATCATTTTCGGCGCGCAGTTATCGCATACGAAGAGAAACCGCGCCACATTTGGATCTTCGAATGGCCCGCGCAACCGGCTTTGGTAACAACGCAAATTTGGTGGACAACCGAAACTAATGACGCATTTGCCAAAGTACAGCAGCGTTACGAGAACGCAATCAAAGACTACAATAAGAAGCAAGTGGCACAGCTGAACAATTTAATTAACATTCTCCTGACCGATCTGTCGGCATCCGATCGGCAAAAGATCATGACCGTTTGCACGATCGATGTGCATNGCGCAACCGGCTTTGGTAACAACGCAAATTTGGTGGACAACCGAAACTAACGACGCATTTGCCAAAGTACAGCAGCGTTACGAGAACGCAATCAAAGACTACAATAAGAAGCAAGTGGCACAGCTAAACAATTTAATTAACATTCTCCTGACCGATCTGTCGGCATCCGATCGGCAAAAGATCATGACCGTTTGCACGATCGATGTGCACAGTCGCGATGTGGTGGCGAAAATTATTTCGGCAAAGGTTGAGGTGGCCACAGCGTTTCAATGGCAGAGCCAATTGCGTCATCGCTGGGATACAAAGTACGATGATTGCTTTGCCAATATCTGCGATGCACAATTCAAGTACGACTATGAATATTTGGGTAATACGCCACGTCTGGTAATCACACCGCTAACCGATCGCTGCTACATAACCCTAACACAGTCCTTGCACTTGGTGATGGGTGGCGCGCCAGCCGGTCCCGCAGGCACGGGCAAGACGGAAACTACCAAGGATCTCGGGCGTGCGCTGGGCATGATGGTGTACGTGTTCAATTGCTCCGAGCAAATGGATTACAAATCTTGTGGCAATATACACAAGGGACTAGCGCAAACCGGCGCTTGGGGCTGCTTTGATGAATTCAATCGCATATCGGTGGAAGTGCTCTCCGTGGTGGCAGTGCAAGTGAAATGCATACAGGATGCCATTAAGGTGAGTACAGTCGCTCAGTCGATGAACCACTATCACACTGCAATTCACACGTTACACNATGCATACAGGATGCCATTAAGGTGAGTACAGTCGCTCAGTCGATGAACCCCCATCACACTGCAATTCATATTACACTTTTTTTAGGCAAAGAAGGTGATGTTCAACTTTCTAGGCGAAATTATATCGCTGCGTCCGACAGTCGGCATGTTTATCACCATGAATCCCGGCTATGCGGGACGCGCAGAATTGCCCGAAAATCTAAAAGCGCTTTATCGCCCCTGTGCCATGGTTGTGCCGGATTTTGCGCTCATTAGTGAAATTATGATGGTGGCAGAAGGCTTCCAGGAAGCGCGTCCGTTAGCTCAAAAATTCATTACACTCTACACGCTGTGCAAGGAGCTGTTATCAAAGCAGGATCACTACGATTGGGGTTTGCGTGCCATCAAGTCGGTGCTGGTAGTTGCCGGTTCTTTGCGAGTAAGTGAATGTGCACATATCATTTTAATTTACAACAACATGCGTACTTACACACTGCAAATGACATCCCAACTCCATATCTATGCCATCACTATTTTGCCAAACTTGCCGACCTATTTAATCGCCTTCTGCACGAACAACAGAGTTTCTGGCTGTATTTGCTGGAGATTCACTTCCGCTATGTGCTTCTAGCAATTGAATACGTAAGAGATTTACGCCATCGCGCACTCAGAATTGCATTTGGCATCATACCGCTGCAAATTTTCACTGCTTTGGTATTCGTAACACAAAATTTTCGAAAATCTCATTTGCTGTTGTGGTGTGGTTCATTTGAGGAGAATTTGACATCGTCACGCCGTCTTTTAGTTTATTGACTATCCAATTCCAGTCTCCCGAGNGTTGCACGTTGCACTGGTGTTGTGCACCGGAAATATATGAGTGCAATGTCGAAGTGTAGCATTTTAATTAAAAGTTTCGAGCGCACGGTAATGCGAAATTCACATTCGCTAAATTAGTATCAGACCAAGTCTAAGTGCCATTAAGAGAGAGTGCTAATTTAGTTTCGCATATTATGTGACCTCTGAAGAAACTGCGCTAATGCTTGTTTTGGGGAGAAAGAGTGAGACGTGTAAGCAGCACTTGATTGGCCGGCAGCAACTTGAAACACTAACTTGGGCTTGTCAGCTAATTTTCTTGCACATTTTATGGATAAATGAAAATGTTTGGCTAGGTAGTAGGGAGAGCGTCGAGACTTGTATTATTTGAATAACCTACTTCGTACTTCTAGAATGTCAAGAAATATGATTGCTAATATTTTTTTTATTACTGGCAAATGACACCACCACTACAATTAACACGAGTTGGAGTGAGTTATGTTAAAGTGAGATGAGTTGAGGAAAGTTGAGTTGAGGGAAATTCAGATGAGGTGAGGTGAGTTAAGATGAGCTAGGGTGAGTTGAGTTGATGTGAGATGAGGAGAGTTAAGCCCAAAATACAATAACGCAGTGGCAATGGCAGCGGCAGTTTTTCGAAATCAGCTGTTTTTTAGAAAATGTGCTGTCCAATGAAGCGACTCACAATACAGCAGTGGCAACTGAGCAATATTGCTCAGTTTAGCCCAAATTCTAATTCATCGCAGCAAACTTCGCATGCTGAATTTGACATAAATGAAATGCAGCCAACATCTGTTGATGTCACTGAAGTCTAGAAGGCAACAACAAAAATGTAAACAAACAAAAGGGAATGTCAAAAAAAGCAGTCACTGACAACGCCGTATTGTGTTTGCTACGGCAGTGACTGCCAATATTAGCAGTAACAGCTGATTTTAAAAAACTGTCACTGCCACTAAAAATATAATTCCTTAACTTTGTGCAAAACAGCATATTTTCGCGCAGATTTTCAACTTTTTAATGAGATTTTTTTATAATTTATTGAGTATGCAGTCTTGTAGCCCATAAAATTCTAGTAAAAAAACTGCAAGTTCTGAGTTAGGCAATAATTGCATTGACTTTTGAGAATTTTTTTTTTTTGTAGAAGGTGTTTTGCATTTCTTCCATATAAACTATTTTCGCAAAAAAAAATGTGTATAAAAGAGACCGCTTGAAAAAAAAATTGCCAAAAATCAACGATAACTCCCGGAAAACCGCAACTTTTTTTGTGATGCAGACTAATGTACAGTAGTCGAAGAAATTATAGCCGCACCAAATTTTCACAAGTTTTAAAATATTATTTTTGTTGTTCTTTCATTTTGGTTAATTTTATATGGTTCATTTTTCAATAGAACATCGCTGTATTGCACCAATCTTTTGACTACGAAAAAAAAATATTCCCATTTTTATTTTGTACTAATCTGTGCAAATGTACCAATCGAGTGCCCCTGCCTTTAAAGTTTATGCAATATAAAAAAAAAAAAAAATCAACAAACTTTCGTAAAAATTTTGAGTTTTTCAATTAGATTCTGTGTATGCAGTTTTGAATTCTTATAGAATAAAGTACAAGTTTCAAAAATTACGTTTGATTTTTTAGAATTTTTAAAAAGCTCGAAATTTGTACTAAAGTTTGTAGATTTTTTTTTTTTAATATTGCACAAATTTGGAAACTTGGAATTACATGGGTTTTGTCAAAGAATGAACTATATTTTTATAAAAACAAAATAACCTTTTTGACCACTGTATGTATTTTTTAATATCTTTAATTGGGCATGCACATTGTCAGAAGACCTCCAACCAAATGTGAGTTAACTATCATTAGAATCGCCACCAATAACAAGTACTCTGCTAATCCCATTATTAACCACCTCACCAATTTAACTTCTTACCATACTTGGAACACTTCTCAATCTCCTTTACAGCGTGATGACCGCTACCGTCCCGAAGATCAGGTGCTCATGCGTGCCCTACGTGATTTCAATATACCGAAAATCATAACCGATGATGTGCCAGTATTTATGGGTCTTATTGGCGATTTATTCCCCAATTTAGATGTGCCGCGAAAACGTTCTCTGGAGTTTGAAGCTATCATCAAAAGATCGGCAATTGATCTTAAACTACAACCGGAAGAGGGATTCATTCTGAAAATTGTACAACTGGAGGAGCTGTTTGCTGTCAGACATTCGGTATTCATAATTGGCTTCGCCGGCACCGGAAAATCTGAGGTGTGGAAGACCTTAAATAAAACGTATCAAAATCAAAAACGCAAACCGCACTACAATGATCTCAATCCGAAAGCCGTTACTAATGATGAGCTTTTCGGTATTGTCAATCCGGCGACACGTGAATGGAAAGATGGACTATTCTCAATTATTATGCGCGATCAAGCAAATCTAGGTGGTACGGGTCCTAAATGGATCGTATTGGATGGTGACATTGATCCGATGTGGATTGAAAGTCTGAATACGGTCATGGATGATAATAAAGTGCTGACACTGGCGAGCAACGAACGCATTGCTTTGACTAAGGAGATGCGTCTACTTTTCGAAATCGCGAATCTAAAAACGGCGACACCTGCCACAGTATCGCGCGCCGGTATTCTCTACATCAATCCGCAAGATCTTGGCTGGAGCCCCTTCATACAGTCGTGGCTGAATACGCGTCCAAATCAAACGGAGATCGCCACACTCAATGTACTCTTCGACAAGTATGTGCCGCCCATGTTGGATGTATTCAACAAACGTTTGAAGCGTATCACGCCCATCTCGAATATCGCCATGCTGCAAATGACCTGCTTCCTGCTCGATTGCATGCTTACGCCGCAAAATGTACCCAACGACTGCCCGAAAGACTGGTACGAGATATACTTTGTATTCAGCATAATTTGGGGCTTTGGCTCCACGCTCTTTCAGGATCAAATCATCGACTGGCGCAACGAATTTCACAAGTGGTTCATTAATGAATTCAAAACGATCAAATTTCCACCGGGAAATAATGTATTTGCCTACTATGTGGACCATGAAACGAAGAACTTTTTACCTTGGACTAAGTTGGTGCCCTCATTTGAACTCGATCCGGACGTGCCCTTGCAAGCCAACCTCGTACACACATCGGAGACAACGCGTTTGCGTTATTTTATGGACGTGCTCGTAGCCGATAATCACCCAGTTATGCTTATCGGCGCAGCTGGCTCTGGAAAAACAATTATAATGGGCTCTAAACTCAACGCGCTGCCAACTGAGAAGTTTGCCATACAAAATGTACCATTCAACTTTTATACCACATCGGAGATGTTGCAGCGCGTGCTGGAAAAGCCCTTGGAGAAGAAAGCTGGCCGCAACTATGGGCCGCAGGGTAACAAGAATATGCTGTACTTCGTAGATGACATGAATATGCCAGAAGTGGATAAGTACGGCACCGTGCAGCCACATACGCTCATACGTCAATTCATGGACTATAGGCATTGGTATGATCGCACGAAGATGACACTACGTGACATACACAATTGCCAATTTGTGTCGTGCATGAATCCTTCGGCGGGTTCGTTCACCATAAATCCACGGCTACAGCGACACTTCTGTTCCTTTGCGGTAAAGTAAGTATTTTTTGATGTTGGCTATTGCTTGATCGAGTTGTATTTAAATTGCGCTTATTTTATTTCAGCGCGCCCGCAGCCGATGCGCTCTTCCACATTTTGTACTCGATTCTCTCACAACATTTGGCAGCGCCACATCTCAAATTCGACAAGGCCGTAATAAAACTGGCAGAACCTTTGGTGCAAACAGCCATTTCATTGCACCAGAAAGTAGCCACAACATTCCTGCCTACGGCCATCAAGTTTCATTACAATTTCAATCTGCGTGACATAGCCAATATTTTTACAGTAAGTTTCCTCTGCCGTGTCGATCTATTTGTCTACTCTTACGTCACCTTATTCCTTCAGGGCGTTCTGTATGCGAATCACGAAACTTGTCCCAATCCAAACCAGCTCCTGCGCCTGTGGGTGCATGAATGCAATCGCGTTTACGGCGACAAGCTCGTCGATCATACGGACATAATCAACTTCCAGAAGTTACTGAGCGAGATGGTGCGAAAAGGTATTGAATCCTTCTCCGAGGATATTGTCTTTTCGAAGCCGCTTATCTACTGCCACTTTGCCAAAGGGCTTTCCGACATCAAATATATGGCCATACCCGACTGGGAACGCCTGCATCGTTTGTTGACCGAAGCACAAGAGCGCTACAACGACTTTGTCGGCGCACTGAATTTGGTGCTTTTCGAAGATGCCATGGCACACGTCTGTCGCATAAGTCGCATACTAGAATCTTCGCGCGGCTACGCGCTCCTCATCGGTGTCGGCGGTTCTGGAAAGCAATCGCTCACGCGTCTTGCGAGCTTTATCTCATCACTGGACGTATTCCAAATACAACTCACTAAAGATTACAGCAACAACGACTTGAAGGCAAACTTGTCTACGCTATATATGAAGGCTGGTGTGAAATCCACGCCTTGTTGTTTCCTTATGACCGACTCGGAGGTAGCGCGTGAGCAATTCTTGGTGCTGGTCAACGATATGCTCGCTTCGGGTGATATACACGAACTCTTTCCGGACGATGAGGTTGAAAACATTATCAGTGCCATGCGCAATGAAGTCAAGCAACTGGGAATTATGGATACGCGCGAAAGCTGCTGGAAGTACTTCATTGACAAGGTGCGCAGCTTGCTTAAGGTGGTGCTCTGCTTCTCACCGGTCGGCGCTACGCTACGTGTACGTGCACGCAAATTTCCAGCACTAGTGAATTGCACAACCATCGACTGGTTTCACGAATGGCCACAAGAGGCGCTCGAATCGGTATCGGCACGTTTCCTTAACGAAATCGCAGTGCTGCCCAGAAGTTTGGCCGATCCGGTGTCCAAGTTTATGGCTTATGTTCATAACACTGTCAACGACATATCCCAGGTTTACTTGGCCAACGATAAGCGCTACAATTATACCACACCCAAATCTTTTCTAGAACTTATCAATTTGTATGCGAAGCTGTTGCAGGAGAAGGTGAAGGCTAATCAGGATCGACGTGTGCGTCTGGAGAACGGTCTCATCAAGTTGGCCAGCTGTTCAAAAGAAGTCGATGCCTTACAGGACGTACTAAAAGTGCAGGAGGTGGAGCTGAAAGCAAAGAACGAAGAGGCTGATCATCTGATTAAAGTTGTGGGCGCAGAAAATGAAAAAGTGTCCAAGGAGCGTGCGTTTGCCACCAAAGAGGAGAAAAACGTACGCCAAATAGAGGAGGATGTAACAGCGAAAGCAAAGATGTGCGAGGAAGACTTCCGCAAGGCACAGCCAGCGTTGATAGCCGCACAGGAGGCCCTTAATACGCTAAACAAAAATAACCTAACCGAGTTGAAGTCTTTTGGTTCACCGCCCGAAGCTGTAGTCAGCGTGTGCGCCGCGGTCTTGGTATTGTTCGCTTCCAAAGGTAAAATACCAAAGGACCGCACCTGGAAGGCTTGTCGTCAGATTATGGGCAATGTCGATAAATTTCTCAGCGATCTGGTGAACTATGATAAGAAGCACATACATCCGGATATTATCAAGGCACTACAGCCATATATCAATGATCCCGAGTTCAATCCGGAAAAAATTATGGCAAAATCAGCGGCGGCGGCTGGACTTTGTTCATGGGTTATAAATATAAATCGCTTCTACGATGTATATCTGATAGTTGAACCAAAGGAGCGTGCACTCGTGGAAGCTGAGCAGGAGCTCAAAGATGCGCGCGACAAGCTGCAAGCACTGAATGACCGGCTCAATGAGCTGGAGGAACAGTTGAACGTCTTGCAGATGGAATATGATGATGCTTTGGCTAAGAAACAAAAGTGCCAAGATGAAGCTGACAAGACGGCTTTCACCATTGACTTGGCCAATCGTTTGATAGGCGGTTTGGCCTCGGAAAAAATACGCTGGACAGAGTCGGTGAAAAGGTGAGTGAGTGGTAGCCGTTATGTCCTAAATGTTACCTATGAGATATTTTATAAATTGCGCGCGCTACATTTGTAGCCTCAAGGAGGGTCAAATTACGCTGCCGGGCGATATGCTGCTCATCTCATGCTTCATATCTTATGTCGGCTGCTTTACGCGCCCATATCGCATTGAATTGCAGCAAAAAATGTGGTTGCCTACCTTCAAAGCCAGCAATGTAAGCAAACACGCTTTTCTGCTAATGATCTTTTAACTTTGTTAATTGCCTTTTTAATTTCTAGCCAAAAATACCCGCAACGGAAGATAGTGACCCTTTCGAAATGATTTGCGACGATGCACAAATCGCCGAGTGGAACAACCAGGGATTACCCAGCGATCGTATGTCATCGGAAAATGCCGCCATTTTAGTGCACTCCGATCGTTATCCGCTAATGATCGATCCACAGTTGTAAGTTGGACTTGTTTTCAAGTGAAACTTTTATCGCAAAGGTAGATAGTGAATTTAAAAAAATCGTCATGAAATGCGACACTTGGGATGCCACGGAAGTGCATGTCTCGTCCTTTTGCTCCCTATCTCTTCCCTACGTTCGAGAGAAGTTCCACCTATTTTTTTTTTTTTAAGGTTAAGTAAAGACTTAATGAAGACTAAATAACACTAGACCTACTGACAGTAAGCAATACTTATAAGCAATATATATACCGTATGCTTGCGGCAAGGTGCCCGAGTTTTTTATTCCTAAATCCGGCAAGAGGCCTTTTGACTTAGCTAAATCACACAGATCTATTAGCCTAATTTCATTCACTCTCAACAGATTAGAGCGACTGTAAGACCTCCACATTAGGGATAAACTTAACACTTCCACTCCCTGTTGGTTGAATAAACGCTTTGCTTCGTGGGCGAGAAATTACATTGTCCTTGGGCTCAAGTGAGGAACAGAGCAGTGAGAGGCTGTCCGCAGGGAGGAGTCTTTCTTCTTTGCATTGGTCACTTGTATGGATGACCTCTTAATCAGACTACATGAGTATGTTTACGATATTGTGGGGTACGGCAAAATTCGGCAGTACTGTCTTGGGCGTTACAACCATGTGGACCTGGAAACTACTTTTTTGAAGAACATGGGAATTGAGCTCAAGGCTTATAGAGTGGCTCTACCGTCTGTCTGATCGTCCATCCGATTTTGTATGAGGCATCCATAGCATGGTGGTATAAGATATGGCAAAAAACTGTTATATCTCGCCTTAAAAACTGAAAACATTGAAATGTCTATCCGTCACTGGATCAATAAGAAGCTGAGTATTGTATATTAGATAATTTCTTAAATAATACGTGCTCAATTGCTACTCTTAGAGTCGTTTATAGAATGGACAATAGTCTCTGATTCCGTAACCAAATAGATCTGTGTTGGCAGAAAGTTCCAAGTTATAATGCCCGATCGCGAAAATTTGTGAATCCGCGTTTGATCCCAGATACATATGGAAACTAGTACACAGCAGTTGAAGGGTGGAGGACAGAGCAAGTGTAGGTATTTTTAGATCTAGCGCCAAACTTGCAATTCCCTTGGGCAAATGGTGTTTCAGACTGAAATAGTCGAAATTTTAAACTGTGGGTTTGAAGGGCCCCTTTCTAGTTATCTTTTCAGATAGCCAAGCAGCCATCTGAGCCCTTTCAAACAGGACTATAAAATCCAAGCTGGTTAGATACACGCTACAAATTTTGTCAGCCCAAAACACGGTAACACTATGCTGGGTACCAGCCCATTTCGAAATCGAGGGCATGAAAAGGACCGCCAGCAGCCTTTTCAGGACCTCAGCCATTCTGTGGCCTCAGTTGGTCCCCTTTGAGAGCCATAATTACTGAGTGGGTACGCTCTAAGCGCAATAAGTACTGGAGGCGGTGGGGGCCATAGACAGGCCAGGCCAGGCTCTTCGGCTACCGTTTCAAAAGAAAGGGTATTATTTTCTGAGTACTTGACTGGTCACAACCGATTGCGATTTCGCTTGCACCGATTAGATGTGACAGAGTAGGAATGCTGGCTCTGCGCTGAATATAATAAAACTTCAATGCATATTCTATATCACTGTCCGGCTTTAGTCAGACAAAGATTTATCTATTTCGAAGCTCCAATGGTGGAACCCTTTGTTATAAAGAATTCGCCCACCAAGGCCATTTTATAATTCGTTAGGGAAGCCGAAGCTATCTTGGCCACACTGCATTAGGAACTCTCTCTTTAAGGGATAAAAAAATTATTTCAGGTCACAGTGTCTCTTGTTCTGTTACGCCCAAGAACTAACTACCTAACTAAGGGCATAACACACCTTTGTTTATTACTACACTTCGTGAGAACTGCAGCTATTCTTTTAAATTTAGAACAACGACTAATTTCGATTCGTCCCCATTTCCCATGTGGCTACCCTCACTCTATAGTAGATAGATCACGGACAAATAGATTGCCTTCCGTGTCGGTACATCTACAATTCAGTTACCTGGCACCCATGCTATTATTTCGAAGTGTCTATTTGCCAGCTCATTTAGAATATGTCTGTACTGCCTGGCTATCCTTGATGTTAACTTGTCACATTTAAGTGTCTGAGTAGCTGCTTCCTAGTAGAGAACAGGTACAGGTAAGTCGCCACGCATACTACCCTCTGGAACTTGATAAGCTTATTTCTTATTATAAATTTATCAGACTGATGTCGCATTGCGCCTTCTGGTTAGTTTTCTGTGCGAAATATCGTCTAGATACTATGTGACTTCTTCCGAGAACGAATCTGGATACAGGCGATCTGCGCTTTAGGACCATAGCCATCTTTGTCGTTTGGCATTTAAACCAGTTTCCCATGACCAAGTTTCCACAGCCGGTAAGATCGATCGAAGGTATCGCCCTACAGAGACTTTATATGACTAACGGTTGGTTTGGTAAGAATTGGCTGCAACTTAACACACCTACAAGTAAAAATGTTCTTTTCACTGGAACGCTCTTCACTGAAAACGGTACACGTTTGGTCTTTCACACACGATAATCTATAGATATGTCTTTCTAAACTTTATCGGGCTATGCATCTGTGTTATTTTGAAACATACTCTGGATCAAAAGGGTGGGGAACCGCCTTTGGACCTTGGCCTTTTTTCGGTTGTGCTCTTAATTTATTACTTTACATGAGAGGAATCTCTTAAGGCATTTTGTAATCATTTTGAGAAATGTTTGCTGGTTGGTAAGGCACTTTTTGGGGAGAGCGACGATAATTTCTGAAGGCAGAAGATTTTTGCACATACATAGAGTAGTGCATTGTTATCAATGCTCGGAAAATACTGAGTTTACTCTAATTTTAGTCCTTTACGACTATTTATTTATTTCCAAAAATTTTAATACTGCACGTGTTTTCCATTATTATTCATTCTTTTTAACAGGCAAGGCATTAAGTGGGTGAAGCAAAAGTATCAAAACAACTTAGTGGTCGTCCGACTAACAATGAAAGGTTACCTTGACATGGTGGAGAAGGCCGTCAGCAATGGCAATGTTCTGCTGCTCGAAAATATTAGCGAAAGTGTTGATGCTGTACTTAATCCACTATTGGGGCGTATGCTAATCAAGAAGGGCACTTGCCTCAAAATGGGCGATCGAGAAATCGATTTCAATCCAAAGTTTCGTCTCATACTCCACACGAAATTAGCCAACCCACATTATAAACCAGAAATGCAAGCACAAACTACACTCATTAACTTTACTGTCACGCGTGATGGTCTCGAAGATCAGCTATTGGCAGAAGTTGTGAAAGTGGAACGGCCAGATTTGGAAGTTATGCGCACACGCTTGACGCAGCAGCAGAACCACTTCAAAATTACGCTAAAGTTCCTAGAAGATGATCTACTGCAACGCTTATCTTCGGCCGGGGAAAATGTTTTGGAAGATGTGACGCTCGTAATGAATTTGGAAAAGACCAAAAAGACTGCTGACGAAATTGAGGTTAAGGTAGCGGAAGCGAAAATAACCGCAGTGCAAATAGACACAGCACGCGAAGCTTATCGTCCCGCTTCTGAACGCGCATCAATCATTTACTTTATACTCAACGATCTTTTCAAAATAAATCCAATCTATCAATTTTCGCTAAAAGCATTCACGGTTGTCTTCTCAAATGCCATGCAACGCGCTGTGCAGGCGGAGAAGCTGAAAGACCGTGTAGAGAATCTCATCGATTCAATAACGTATTGCAGTTTCTTGTACACGTCGCGCGGCCTCTTCGAATCCGACAAACTTATCTTTCTTACTCAAATGTGTCTGCAGATAATTATCAGCGCAGGCGAGGTTGAGCATGCCGAATTGGACTTTCTGCTACGCTTCCCTTACATGCCGAACCAGACATCGCAGCTTCCGTTCCTGACCAATGTTGGCTGGGGCGGCATACGCGCGCTAAGCAATTTACCGGCGTTTAGAAATCTCGACAAAGACATCGAGGGCTCCCACAAGCGTTGGAAGAAGTTTGTCGACTCGGAGTGTCCAGAGCGTGAAAAGTTTCCGGGTGAATGGAAGACAAAGTCAGCTACACAGCGCTTGTGTATTATGCGCTGCATTCGGCCAGACCGCATGTCCTACGCCATGCAAGTATTTATTGAGGAGAAGCTTGGCTCCAAGTACATAGACGCCAGATCAATGGAGTTCGCTAAGACCTTCGAAGAGACCAGCCCCGAGACACATGTTTTCTTTGTACTCTCGCCCGGTGTTGATCCGCTCAAGGATGTTGAGAAGTTGGGCAAAGTTATGGGCTTCCACGGCGATAATGAGAACTTCCACAGCGTTTCGCTGGGTCAGGGACAAGAAATTGTGGCCGAAGACGCTATTGACACAGCTTCACGCAACGGTCACTGGGTTATTTTGCAGAATATTCATTTAGTGGCACGTTGGCTGCCCACTTTGGAAAAGAAAATGGAGGCATCTCTCATCGACGTCAATCCAAATTATCGTTTGTTTTTGAGCGCTGAACCAGCAGCGGATCCCGCTTATCACATACTGCCTCAGGGTATACTAGAATCGGCTATTAAAATCACAAACGAACCGCCGACTGGCATGCAAGCCAATGTGCACAAGGCGCTGGATAACTTCAATGAGGAAACGCTTGAAATGTGCTCAAAGGAAACCGAGTTCAAGGGGGTACTGTTCGCGCTCTGCTATTTCCATGCAGTCGTAGCTGAACGGCGAAAATTCGGGCCACAAGGTTGGAATCGTGTTTACCCATTCAATGTGGGCGATCTGACTATTTCGGTGTATGTGCTATACAACTACTTGGAAGCCAACACGCGCGTTCCTTGGGAGGATCTGCGCTATCTCTTTGGCGAAATCATGTATGGCGGCCACATAACAGATGACTGGGATCGCCGTCTGTGTCGCACTTACTTGCAAGAGTTTATGCAGCCCGAGCTAATTGACGGCGAGCTCTCATTTTGCCCTGGCTTTCCAGCTCCCGGTATACTCAAATATCAAGGTTACCACGATTATATTGATGACAATTTGCCGGCCGAGAGTCCAACGCTTTACGGCCTGCATCTAAATTCCGAAATAGGCTTCTTAACAACCGTTTCGGAACGTCTATTCCGCATCGTTTTCGAGCTGCAGCCACGCATTGCTGGCGCTGATTCGGGTTCCGGCGAAACGCAGTCGCAGGAGGATGTAGTCAAAAGCATGATTGAAGATTTGCTCGATAAAATACCTTCGCCATTTAATATACCCGAATTGATGGCGCGTGTCGAAGATCGTAATCCCTATATTATAGTTGCGTTCCAGGAGTGTGAGCGCATGAATATACTAATGTATGAAATAAAGCGCTCACTACACGAACTTGAGTTGGGCTTAAAGGGTGAGCTAACTATTTCTTCAATTATGGAGGCGCTTATGCAATCACTATTTTTGGATCAAGTGCCCGAGTCGTGGACAAAGCTTGCCTATCCCAGTTTGTTGGGCTTGCAATCATGGTTTGCCGACTTGCAATTGCGTTTGCATGAACTCGAAGGCTGGGTTGCTGATTTCCGAATGCCGTCATCCATTTGGCTGGGCGGGTTCTTCAATCCACAGAGTTTGCTTACAGCCATTATGCAGCAGACAGCGCGTAAGAATTCTTGGGCTTTGGATCGAATGTGTCTCAATTGTGATGTGACAAAGAAAACGAAAGAGGAAATCAAGTACGTTAAGAACTGTGATGGGTTCTTAAGAGTTTCTTAATGGTATTTTTTTCAGTGCACCACCCAAAGAAGGTTCCTATGTTAATGGCTTGTTTATGGAAGGCGCACGCTGGGACATGAAAATGGGCACCATTGCTGATGCTTATCTAAAAGAACTTTTCCCGGCAATGCCGGTAATTTTTATCAAGGCCGTGCTATTGGACAAGCAAGATACGAAAAATATTTACGAATGTCCTGTATACAAAATACGGTAAGTACCGATTCATTTTTGCCATCGAGTGGAACAAGTAAACTAAATGTCCTTAAAGCGTGCATCTCTTTTTTGGAAGTCTTGCTGAGTTTTTCGTATGAAGAACATCACATGACTCCAGTACTAGGTAATATGATAAGAGCACTTATTTGCGTTTGCTTCTGAACTTAGGGCTACCACAAACTTTTTTCAAATTCATTCCAAAGGACCTAAGTGATATTATGATATAGGTATATATATAAACTTTTGAAGTGAAACTTCTTTAGCCGCGGTTCGTTAGTTGGGAGTAAATTGACAAATTCAGGGGAAATTGCACACGGAAATGGTGCAACGGAAATGATGCAACGAAATTTAAGTCTCGGGTATACTTTTCATTTCACACAATGTAAACTCAATTAAAAATATTATTTTAAAATTTTAAACGTCATCCTTACATTGTAAATTGCGTTCCTTTAGATTTGAATCATAAATGGGATTTCGCTTTTTTCATATAAGCATACAAATTTTCTATCAGCGTGCATCAAACTGTATATAAAGGGCCAATTGTAAGAATTCGCACAAAATTGCGCAATAAAAAAAGTCAAGTTTAAGTAAATTATGGTAAAAAAACGGATTTCCATGTATGTTTGGTAACAAAAATTTTGTAGTTTTTCATAATCGGCTATGCATATATGTATAATTTTTCATAATCGGCGATGCATATATGTTACTCTATAACCATTTCAATTATCAAAAGACCCTATTTTATAATGACGACATTTTACAATGTAGCACTCCGAAGCCTGTCCCACTGTTCGCTGCTTTGAAATAAGTTCAAAACCCCAACCCAAAGCATATGCATATGTATGTATGTATATAAATTTGCAATCATCCACATATCGCCAACCAGTATGCCCACAAACCCATATTCATACTTATACGCATGGGAATCCATGTGTGTGTTTTTTTTGTTTTTATGGTAAAAGCGCAACTCATGTCCAATGCTGTTTCCACACTTGCCGCAGTTGCCACTAATTTCTTGTGACTTTTCATTACCTTCACTCATTGCTTTGGCACGTTTTTACATTTCAATTTAGCGAATTGCCAACAGGCTTTTGTCAATCCCCTATCGTTCACCTACTTCTTATCCATGCGCTTAGAATTCTCTGAACTGGCACCCTGTATAAAACTGATAGTGTTGAACAGCTAAAAGTCGATTAAAATGAGGATTAACAACTAGAGAAGTTTGCACTTTCTCGCTGGGCTGCCAAAAAGCTAAATGCTTGGCACAGAATGAAGCGTTCACACTTTTAAATCAAAAAAAATGCCATTTCGACTAACAAACACAAGCACACTAGCCGCATAAGTACGTACGTATGTGTGTTGGAAATAGTCTGATGCATTAGCTAGCTACTCGCTGGCGTGAAGAATAGAAAATACGAAAAAAAAATAATAATTCAGCTGCATGTCAATGAGCTGCTGGTGAGTTACTGAGTTGAGTTGGCTTGGTGCTCTGACTCCCCATTTGAGAGCAATTTTAGATTTTAATAGCCAGCAAGCAAACCAAGCCACCGCCAAATGCACCGACAAACAGACTTTTGATTGGCATGCCAGTGGCTTTTGTCGCATGCCTTTGCTTTGCTTTGGTGCTGTGTATGCACTACCCCACCTATTTACTTGTGTGCGCGCTTGTGTCACAGGCACCACAGAGTCTACATCGGTGTTTACTTTTTTATGCTCCTATCCCAGCTGACTTTTCCTCTTTAATGTTGACATTTTTTTTTTTTGGTAGAATTTCGTTTTTTTATTCTTTTGCTCAACTCATGCTGTCGCCGACATTTGACGTTGATGATTTGTGCGGCAGCTCATAATGAAACTCATCATCAACCATCATCACCAGCACGAACGATAGATAGTACTAGAGGAAGCAACGGCAGCGGGAGCAGCGGGAGCAGCGCTGGCGACAGTAAGAGCAATCACGCAAAGTCTGCCCAGTGAATAGAGAAACATCACAATGAAAATTCTACTTTCCTGCTGTAGCGTATATAACTGCATGTTCCTATGTGGACGAAGAAGAAGAAAGAAGCAGCAGCACTTACACCAGCAAATCCGCTACTTTGTCGCTTAGCAGCAGCAAATGGATCGTGAAATTTCTTATATGNGCATTAGCTAGCTACTCGCTGGCGTGAAGAATAGAAAATACGAAAAAAAAATAATAATTCAGCTGCATGTCAATGAGCTGCTGGTGAGTTACTGAGTTGAGTTGGCTTGGTGCTCTGACTCCCCATTTGAGAGCAATTTTAGATTTTAATAGCCAGCAAGCAAACCAAGCCACCGCCAAATGCACCGACAAACAGACTTTTGATTGGCATGCCAGTGGCTTTTGTCGCATGCCTTCACTTTACGGAGCTGTGTATGCACTACCCCACCTATTTACTTGTGTGCGCGCTTGTGTCACAGGCACCACAGAGTCTACATCGGTGTTTACTTTTTTATGCTCCTATCCCAGCTGACTTTTCCTCTTTAATGTTGACATTTTTTTGGTAGAATTTCGTTTTTTTTTATTCTTTTGCTCAGCTCATGCTGTCGCCGACATTTGATGTTAATGATTTGTGCGGCTGCTCATAATGAAACTCATCATCAACCATCATCACCAGCACGAACGATAGATAGTACTAGAGGAAGCAACGGCAGCGGGAGCAGCGGGATCAGCGCTGGCGACAGTAAGAGCAATCACGCAAAGTGTGCCCAGTGAATAGAGAAAAATCACAATGAAAATTCTACTTTCCTGCTGTAGCGTATATCATTGCATGTTCCTATGTGGACGAAGAAGAAGAAGCAGCAGCACTTACACCAACAAATCCGCTACTTTGTCGCTTGGCAGCAGCAAATGGATCGTCAAATTTCTTATATGTACCAAATATCTTCAAAAATCGATTTGACAGCATTTTTAACCACTTTACTTATTTGGCTTTTAATGCGATTTCATATTTTATATTTCCTTTCCGACCAAGTGCACACTAAGAAACATATGTATGTTGGTACACACGCACATTATCACTAACTTATTGGAGTAAGTACTTGGCTGTGTCCTTGCACAAATGTATTAACTTACTATTGTTCGTAAATTCATAGAAATCTTATTGAAGTATATATAAATTTATGTACATATGTATGCACTTGCTTGTGGTAGTTCGAGGCGACAGCAAGCATGTAAAATTACCAACAATTTCTAGAACAAGCCTCGGGGCGCGAAGGAGAGTTGCATTACTATTCTTCGGGACTACAATATTTAATATTGTAAAGGCTTTGCTGCTGTAGAGTCAGCCAGAAGCTCACCGCCACCATGCATATATGATTCGCGTTAGTCGTTAGACATTCTTCCACTAACTCTCACTGAGCACTCTTTACAGGGGCTTGTGGAGATAGAAAGTGCCTTTAAAAATGTCATTGTACAAAAGTAGAAGACTTCGAAAAGCAAAAATCCTAATGGGAGGGTACAACGTAAAAAGATACATCCTACTAAGAAACCCTTCCGAAAGAAAATTATCTCAGGCATTCTCACGGGACACTGCAGGTTAAGTGGACATTTGCATAAGTTTCTTTTACACCATTTCTCTGTGCATCAAAAAATCAGCAACTCCCAGCGCAATCAGATCGCCGGCCTTAAGTTAATGGAAAGAAAGGTCAAGAGATTCCCAAGCCACATTGAGTGCATTTGGGGAAAGAGGTGGGGATTGAAAAAGTTAAGCATGTCTGGCTTAACAGACGGAGCGAAGTTAGATGCATTCAGCAAGACAATCTGTGGCTGTTGTAGCCGAGTATTGAGAGGTGCGCACTACCACTCTGTAGAACCCAGGTTCGATCCCTGGTCCGAGCACCACAGGGCAGCCGAAATAATAAACATACATTTCAACAGTTTCTGCCGAAGCTGCAAAGAGCCAGCCTCTGAGACTACAGTTGAACACCATCTCTGCGAACGCGCGGTCCTTGAAAGAGCGAGGCTAACGACACTTTGCCATGCATTCCTGTAAAATATTTCAGAGTGCTACCGCCTCTCTCTGTGTTATAAACTGAAACTGATCAAAGCCGCCAAGTGCCTGTAGGTTTCAAGAGTTTCTCGTTTCAAAATGGCTAAAATTTACTAATTGCAGAGCTTCCATTGGAAGATGAAGTAGTCCAATTACCAGACTGTGACGAGGTACGCAAAGCAATTTTGGAATTGACGTTCTGTCAGCTAAGCTATTTACTTACAGCGGCGAAGAGCTGATAAGGTACATACATGCTTAAACATTTTTGAAGAATATGCGGTACTCTATTTCTGGTAGTAGCAGAACAAGGGTAAGACCTGGAGACAGGGACCGAACATAACAGTTATTGATGAATACTGTCATTGAAATAATCACTCTGAAGGAAATGTTCTACAACTAAGTGATTAATACCAGTAAATTTTTTTTCACCGAGAATCAAATTTGTAAATAAATTTTGTGTTTTTAATTTTTATGCAAAATTAAACAAATAACAATTATTTTTGATTGTTATTTAAATAGTCTGTAAATAATAGTTATTTCTGATTTTTTATATTATTTTCTTAGATAACAGTTATTGAAGACTTTTATTTATAAAAGTCACCAATAAAAATCAGTTACAAAACTTGTTAAAGAGTGAATTTTAAATAAGAGTTGTAACTGTTACGGGCCCTGGGTTTAGAAGAACTTAGCTTTATTAGAACTTCATGTATGGAAGCTTAAGAACTGACCGCTTTACTAAATTAAAGCTTTTATTGGAAATAGTTAAAATTTATAAGCTCCAGGATGCATTTCAATATTTTTTATACCCGAGCGCACTTGTGCACAAGGGTATATTAATTTTGTTCACATAACGGTTGTTTGTAACAGCCAAAACGAATCGAGATAGATATAGAC